TTATTGATGCTTTTGATTGGTTTCATTGATGCTAGAGGTTCTTTTGGCACTGTTCATTACAGACCCATCACAATCAAATCAACATATTCATTCTCAAAAAAGAGACAAAAAAAAAACCTTTCCATTTCAAATCACTTCGTTCAATCAACCCAGTGGTTAAAACGGTTTTAAACAGAGTAGTTGAAGGTTTGGAACCGAAAAACTATCCGAAAAAAGTCTTTTGAGAATAGAAATGAGAAAATTTCATTCGCTTGCGAGCTTGCTATGAAATGGTGGAAAGCAATTTTATCGAGTTCGTTGGGGTAGGGGGGAGGGAAAAGGGAGAAGTGGGGAAAGGTTTCCTTACTATTCAGTTCATTCTCAATCGTCCTCATGATACCCAATAGATTTGAGAATGCTACTGATAGCTTTTGCTGGATGCCACTAATAAGATTGTTCTTTTGTAACACAAGTAATATTTCATTTCAGTCATCTCCGACATACTACTGAAATGTACAGTGTTATCTCTGTCACCTATATCGATGCTATTTTTGCATATAGTACCACCAGCAGTTCAATATTCTGGATGTGGCATTCCCTTTCATTTAAGCAGTCTTACTCCCGTGCCTTCTTTTGCAAAATTAAAAATGAAATTTCACACGGTGATTTAGGTAAAAAAATTGTTACGAAACATATATGAGTCCGAAGAACAAATCCGACAAATTGAACTAGGAATTTGATTAATTTTAATAAAGGAGAGTAATTATTTCTTCAAATATATCAAATTCCATATATTTCACAAAATTTAAAATGATAATGAGGAAAGATTCCTCAAGTTCTACCGTATTTTACTTTCCAACACTTGTAATCACTTTTGTTTTCTAATGAACAAATGAAAACATGGCGAAAATCAATCAGATTGCAGCCCCAAATGTTCCTTGACATTTCCCTCACGGTAGCAAGTAGAAACTTTAATTTGAGCCAAATAGTAAGTAAGAACTTTAATTTGAGCTCCTGGATTTTGTCTAATTCGTGCAGTGATGTTCACTGTTTCAAATTTTTTTAAATAATTAAAAAAAAATGTCCATACTGCACTGCATATAAAACAATTTCAGTTGGTTAAAATAAAAAATAAAGGAAGGTTAAAAATATACAATATTCTGTGGAAGTCAGAACTAACTTGATAAAGAGACAACCACAGTGTTCTCATAGTACATTGAATGAGGCAAAAGTACAAATTTGTTTTCAGAAATATCAATAATACCCATGTTTTACAACTGATTGAAACCCTTCAACTATGCATTTTTTAATTCACATTAATCAATATACGTCTATCGGTGAAAAACACCAATAAGAAAGCGATTTAAAAAATAGTCAACGTGATTGTGGGAGAGTCACAACTTAACCTTTTTGATTATTCGTGCAGTTTTGATTTCTAATTATTCCTGATCAATGATTGTCAGGAAGTTAAATTTTTGACAGTAAGGCTTCCTTTTGAAATCTGTCAATTGTAAAACATCGATCTTGTTGATGTTGCTGAAAATAAATTTGTATGCTTGTCATATTCGATCAGTGTACTATGAGAATACTGTGATGAAAACTCTGATTGCCTCTTTATCAAGTTAGTAAGGTTAGATAAGACTACAAAAAAACAAAATTAATGGTGCAAACGAATAAATTTAATAAAATCATACGACTTGTAAAGTTGCAAAAAAGGCTTTTACCGTTGGTAGCAATTCTTCCAGCCCATTCCACTAAGAGAACTGTATTCAAGTTTTTTAAAATTTCTAATGGTAACAGGAATTCCTGAAACAAAATTAATAAATAACTACAAAGTGAGGAAAAATAACAGAATTTAGAAAATGTCGTTTTTGCTAAAAGTACTGCCTCAAAAAATCCAGAGGAATAATTTGCAATGGTCATAAAGTGTTAAAAGGTGACTATTTTAATATATTGAAGAGAGAATAAACAAGGAAAAATAGTACTGATTTAATCCGTGACTGAGACTCAAACAATATGGCCAAAAAATCTTTAACATGAGCAGCTGATAGGCTAGTACATTTTCGCAATTAGTGCATTAACAATACTACTGATAATTTTATCACTAGGAAAAAAGTGCAAATCCACTTAATCTGAATGGCAATTCGAGTATCAGTTCACATTAAGTAAATTTTGCTTTTTTCAATGTTCGTGTAAGGTAAAAAAGGTCTAATCTAACTTGTGTTACTTCAATTACCTGCATGACTTGCCTGATATTCCAAAATTATTGTAGTGACCCAAGCTAGAATAGACTTTTTAGCCCTAGTGTATTGAAAAATGCGATCTACTTAATGTGAACATTAATTAATACGAATTACTGAAAGAAGACAGCAACTCAGTGATCTCATTATTTGAAACAGCCAACTTCATTAAATTCTCAAGATCTCCAAACTCCGCAAATAAATTCTTGATTTGATTTTTTTTTTAAAAAGTATTGTTGCTTATAGTAAATTGTATTGCTAACAATTCTTCAATGATAATTCTAGCAACATCGTCAAATGCTTGTTGTTCCACCGCAAATGAAGTAGTTTATTCTGGCTCATCAAAAGCTTTTGCACAATATAGCATTTCATAACAACACAGTAGACATGCGCTACTGCATGCTAAGACTTTTTCCACCAATTGAATAAAGCAACAAAACGATTTCTCCATGTAGTAATAAATGGAAGAACGCTTTCAATAAGCAAACAATCATCCATCTGATTAAACAACAAGATTGGGCAGAAATAGACAAATACTAAACAATTCGGGAGTTGAATGAAGACAATCATCACGAAAAAATAAAGCCTTTTTGGTTAAACATTAACGAAAATTTGCCTCCTAAGTAAATCAGCTGTGTTAAGATTATTCCAATTAGTCACCACCATTCAAGGATCATCAAATTCCAAAAAGTTTGGGGACTGTTTTAATCCAAATTTTCAAAAAGTACTGCCACTACTTTCATGCAAACCATATGACAGTGTCATACCAAACTAATTTTTATTGAACTGCTAAGCAAATCTTGAAACGGTAACTTTAAACAGTTTGTTCATCCTCATCGACACAGAGAGGTATACCTTTAAAAAGTCCTATACGTTTGGTATATATATATATATATATATATATATATA